CCCGGCCCACCACCCAGTGCCCCCTCTCCAGCACCCCAGTAGGCACAGGCAGCGGGTCCGGGCACCAGCGCCGTGTGGGGGGCTCAGCAGCCCGGGCACCCCCATCTCCAGGGCTGCACCGCGCACCCCCCGGCCCGCCCAGCCCAGCTCGCAGCACCGGCTGTGCCCGCGGCGATCCCGAACAGACGGGTACGGAGCGTCTTCCAGCAGGATGAGCAAAGCCCCTTTCAGGTCAGCGGCTGAGTAGGTCACTGAGCCCCCGCAGCCTCAAAGGGGGCTCCTAGGAACTGAGGGGGGACGAGCAGTGGCACAGGAGAGGGGAGAAGAGCTGGGGAGCTGTGGCCAGCCCCGCTCCCTGCCAGAGACTCCTGTTCCCCAACACTGGGGCCACAGAGGTACAGGAGGAGCCCAGCGAGCACCAGAGCCTGAGCAGCTGGTGAAGATGCTTAGTGTCACCTGAGTAGCACTGTGATCCTGGCTGAGCTGGGGACAGAACAGGAAGGGCCTAGCACTGGAGAGGGCACCTGTGGGGCACCTGCCAACCAGGGTGCCAAGGTACAAGCAAGAGCCGTCACCAACCCCTCGGGGATGCCCAAACCCTAGGATGGAACAACCCTCCAGCCTGTGTCCCCTGCTCTTCCCAGCCACAAGGGACTGGCCGAAGCCAGGACAGACATGGTCCCTCCTCCCTGTGGCAACTTTTGGAACAGAGACCCCCAGGCACTGCAGCCCATGAAGGGATTTAATTATGAGCACGTGCCCAGGATGTGCTGCTGGGCTGCCTGGCTCCAAGCACCTCCCACCACCAGCCCCTGCTCTGGGGGTGACTTCTCACCAGGACAGAAATCCCCACCCTGGGGCACGAAGCAAAGCTCCTCTCCCACACTGGCATCACCTTCACAGTGGACAGCACAGGGAGCAAGGCAGGGCTTTGTGGAGCTGCCACCTGCAGGCACATGGCTGTGACCAAACAGGACACTGGCTCTCTACAGCCTGGATTTGGTGCCTTGGCAGGGCAAATCCAAAATGCCCTCCCAGCCCCACACTGGAAGCCCCCACTGCCCTGGCCCCAGGCATCTGGAGGGCCCCAGTGAAATGCAGTGAACTGGAGCTGAAGGTCACCCCAGATCCTCCTCAGCAGCCCCATGCAAAGGCAAGGTATGCAGAGGGGTCACAGGTGACATCCCAAAGCCCTGAAGCCATGGGGTAAGTCCTGGGAGCCAGACGCTGTGGGGTGCCCCCCTCTTCTGCAGTGCAGGGTTGGCACACCGGGGGATCCCCAAAACCAGCATGTCTGCTGTGCCCAGCCCAGCACGGGGAGCCTGGACTAAAGCTGCACTGCAGC